AGTGTGTGGGTGAGCCCACAGACTCCGCGGCAGGCTGCCTGGGTTCAGGTCCTGATTCTACCACCTACCAAGGCTACTCAACCTCTGTGCCTCACTTTCCCTGGCAATGCTAATCTTACTGCTTGGTAAGGCTGTGATGAGATTAAATGAACTAATTCAAGCAAAGAAACTTGGACAGTGCCTGGAACTTAGTAAATGTACCAGTTGCTTTTATCTGACTTCTTGATCTTCCTTCAGATATCCTTGTCATTCAAGTCTCAAGCCACACACATCACCTCTCCCAGAGGCTCCCATCCCCTGGCACTGAATCTCAAGCAGACCTCAGGCTTTGGTCACTCTCATGCTATTTTATCTCCTTCTAAGGCTCTTACTGTGGTCTAAACTGCTCTTGTTCATGTGTTCAGTGATGGTGGACTGTTCTCAAAGGCAGGGGCCATTGTTGGTCACGGTCAGTGCTCCATGCCCAGTACCTGGAATCTAGCAAGTACTCGACATCCATTTGGGGGCTTGATGCAGGCCTTACCTGCCCCCCTCTCCCCCGCCACGAGAGGGCTGGGCCCTGGGAAAGAACAGGCCCCTGACTATCCCTCCGCTGTTCAGTCCCTCCTCCCCAACATAGCACATTTACTACTTCTGCTCCTCTGCACTTGCTCTGTGTGGTCTTGGGTGAAACATCCTCTTCTCTGGACATCCGGGTGAGTGGAGAGAAGTGGTGATAGACTTAGGCACCAAGGAACAGTCTAAGATTTTTTTAACACTGTTTGTTATATGTCCCGGGCCCCATGCCTATAATGTAAGGAATCCCAGGGCCATCTGGGTTTTTCAAATATAGCACCTTCCTCCCTGCAAGTCCCAAGCAGCCCATCCTCCCTTGTTGCCACTGGGTCTCAAACCCCCACAGAGAAGAGGGGAGTAGGTCCCTATGAACTAACCATTGCCTGCCTCCGACCCTTGCATAAAAACAGGGAGACCCTCACTGGGCCCCAATGTGACTCCATTTCCCAGGGACTAGCCTGCCACCCTGTGGCAGCTTGAGTCTATCACAGTGCCAACTCCTGAATATGGATCTGCTTTCCCTGCTCTTCATCCTTCTGCCAGCACCACCACGAGCTCTCTCACAGAATGCCTGGTCCATTTTTATGCACAATCTGGCATCAGATCAAAGCGCTCATTTCAAGCAATGGGCTCATGCCCGTGGAATTCACCCACCTTACCATATTAGGGTACCATACCTATTCCTGGTACCCTTTCTAAAACATTTCACTGCCCCCACCCTGTTCCAGCCTGGCCATGGCAGCTTCCTCTTACCCTAGGCTCCTCTGCACATTCAGAGCTTCAGGAGGCGAGGAAAGATGGTGAGTGGGGTGCGGGTAGGTGTTTCTGGGGACTCCTCCCCACAGTTCATGCCCAGCCCAGGAAACCTTGTATTCCAAGAAACAAGTCACTTGGAATCAGAAGCCCTCCTCCCCCCGAAAAAAACCTTTTAGTCTAACTCCCGTCTTATATTTGGGGACGTATGCCAAGAAAAGGGAGTGACTTGCTTAGTGGTACATGGCAAAAGAGCAACAGCTCTGTCCCTGCCAGCTGCCCACTCTGCCCCAGAAGTAAGCCTGGCTCTGAGGACTTGGTTCCTCAGGGCTGAGTGTCCTGTTCAACCATCCCTGGGAGCAGGGTGGCCTGATGGCAGGCACTAGGCCGAGTGGCCAGTCTCCTCTCCCAGCTGGAGTCCCTTCCCTGCCTGTGGGGGCCTCCAGTCCCCTCAGATGCTCTGTCCTCAATCAGGGCCTCCCCAGACACCCACCTCTCTGCAGTCAGTCTCTGCCCTTTGCTGCTCTGGCCCTGGTGCAGCCCAGCATGGCTCCCCTGCCTCCACCCCACCACAAACAACAGCAGAAGGGCCCAGCTGGCCTAGGCTGGGTTACATCCTCCACACTGAGACTACATCCCAAGCATTTGTCTTTTCCAGGATAAACAAGGATTACCGTGTGGGAGGACAGACCACAAAGTAACTGGTTATTCACAGAGGTTACCAGAGGCTCTCTGGCACTCACTGATGAAAGGCTAGTGAGATTTGTGGGGAAGCAGAAATTTCTAGATGGGGGCAGAAGTGCCCAAGGATCTGTGTCTAGTTGGAGTGTGTGTCGGGGGAAGGAGGGCAGTAGGGAAGCTCTGCCTGGGAGAGAGAAAATAGTGGGAATGGGGAGAGGCAGACAGTGGAGCCAATGGCTGCCTGGTTACAAGGTGTATCCTTGCGGCCTTGTCACTGGGGCTAACAGATGGACTGGGACACTCACAGAATAGAAGTATGACTCTCTGTGGACACAAAAAGAACTTCATGGTACATTTTGCCACGTATGAAAATTCTAATTTCAGAACATCACTATACGGGGCTGGCAGAAAGGCCCCGTTTCCAGAGGTAACAATTCAGTTGATTTGGATTAGTGGTTGTACATCAGTACTTTTATTTTTTTAAAGATTTATTTTTTATTTATTTATGCATACAAGAACGGAGGTATAGTTCAGAGGTGTGGGGTGGGGGGGCGGTGAGAGGATTCACCAGAGACAGAGTGGGGAGCGGAAAAGGCAGATCTACTGAAATACACTGCTGAGGGGAGCAGCAGGTGAGAAAGGAGAGGTCTGCTGCACCATGTGCGTCAGCTCCCTGGCCTGGATCGAACTCGTGCTGTAGTGTCTGGATAGCTTGATAGCACTGAGACTTTAACCCTTGTGCTACGAGGGAGGCCCATTAGTACTTTTAAAGAAGATCCCTAGATGAGTCTAATGTTGTCTGTGTTGAGAACCACTTTTCTAGGGTCTATAGCCAGGAGTGGACTTCCCAAGGATGTGCATCTTTGGTTTTATTTGATGTAAAATCCTTTTGGATGTGCCTGTAATTATGCCAGTACAACAGGCCCATAGCAGTATGTAGATCCCATGGCTCCACATCCTTCCCAGTGCTTGGCATTGCCAGTTCATTTCTCATATGATTTTAATTTTTATTTCTAATAATGATTTGACTGACTAATGATCAGGTTAAGTATCTTTTCATATTTATTGATGCTTCTTGTTATTTCTTTTGTCAAGAGTCTAATTGTGTCTGGTCCCAACATGGCTGTATTTGTATGTTCTGCAGAGGCATCATTCGGTTGTAGATAGCTTCTCCTAGTTTGCATCTTTTCCTGCCACTTTATTAAAATGTTTTGAAATAACAGGAGTTTTTCATTTTACTGTAGATGAAATTTTTCAGCTTGTTTCTTTACAGTCTGCTTTTAAGTACATATCAAAGAAATTCTCCTGACCTTGAATCAATCAAGATGTTCTGTTTCATTCTTAAAATGTCTGAGGTATTACTCTGCATATTTACATCTAGGACTTACATGTTTTTTGATGTGGGGGTAGAATATCATTTCTTATCCTTTTGGTTAACCTATTTTCTTAGCAAGATTTATCACATAGTCCATCTTACTGCCTCTTCCCCTTCCCCCATCTGCAAGGTTTCCTCACATAGCCACAGTTTATGTGTGTGGGTGGGTTCTGGATCTGTCTGATGCCCCATTTATCAGTCTTTAGGCTGATATCAGGCTGTCTTAAGTCTATCTTCTTCAGGATAGTGTAGATTCATCACAGGTGGTTATAAGGGTGTTCAGTGTAAAATTCTGCCCATTTTTCTATGTGTTTGAAATTTTTCATAATATTGGGGGAAAAGTGTCATAGTGCCTCTGTTATAGGGCAGCCCCGATATTGAACGGGTTGCCTGGCTGTGGGTCCTCACCCGTGCGCTTAAAAGGGACTTATTAATACTCCACTACAGGCACACACGAAAGGTTAATAAAAGGTTTATTTACAAGGGAAAAGGAAATAAGGAAAATGTACAACTCAGAGAGAAAATAGGGAAATAAAGTCCTTAATGCGTCCTACCCGATCCACTGGCCTGGAAACCCAAAAAGCACTCTCACAGCTGGCCGGACCCTGCGAGCTGGCGGGGAGCCAAAATGGGGGACCCCTCCAAAGCCCACGTGTCTGGCTTTATACCAACCTGGCTGCTTAACCCCACCCTCAGGTCCCAGCCACCTTCCCTTTGGTGGGGATGGGATTTGGGGTTCCCAGTGTCTTTGGCTTTGGCCTGGGGTGGGGGTGGAGTCCACAAAGCCTGTATGGAATTAGCTTTAAGACATCCTTTCCCCCTAACACCTCCACCCTTTTTCACGATACAATTTTCTAACAGGTTTCAGACCAAACCAGTTCCAGCAGCTGTAACCCCTGGAGGAAAGAGCAAGTGTTAGGGCTGTGTGTGCAACTGTCACGTTCTTGCAGGCATCGGAGATCCCGTGCTGTGGGGGAGGCAGCTCTAGTCCTGCAGCGCGCCCACCCCACCGCCCAGAAGTCGGCCCCGGGCCCTGGTGAGGAGCAGTGTCCAGCCTGCTTCGTCTCACCAAGGATCCCCAGTCGCCCTCTCCCTGCAGGATCCTTACCTACATCTCCCTTGTTCGCTTTCCACTCCCATCTCCTGTCCTCTGCCACCTTTTGGTTGGTCTGGTGGAGAAATGGAGGCTCAGGGAGGAGGGGTGTGACTTGTCCCAGGTAGGCGCCCGGAGCAATGGGCAATGGCCAACCTCCTGGACACCCCCAGCTCCTGCCCTTCTCGGGCCCTGACGGTGTATCTGCCTCCCCAACCCGCCTCCTCCAGTCTCCCCGCGTCTCCCCTACTCTGGCCAGCCCCCACCAAGCTGCGATCCCTCCCATCCCAGCTCCCCGCGCCCTCAGGAAGACCCGCGCTCCGCGCCCCTCCCGTGGCCGTGCCGGGGCGCGCCGCTGCCACCAGGTGGCGCCCGCGGGCCTCCCCGCGGCCCCGAGAGCCCGCCCCCCGGCGCCCCGCCCCCGGCGCCCCGCCCCGCCCCGTCCGGCCGCGGCCCCGCCCCTCCGGCGCCCCGCCCCGTCCGGCTGCTGTCTCGCTACCCCGGCACCCCCGGCCCGGGACCCCTGCGCCCCGTCTGCCCGGCATGGGCCCCGCCGCCCGCCCCGCGCTGAGGCCGGCCCCCCCGCCCGCGCAGCCGTCGCCGCTGCTGCTGCTGCTGCCGCTGCTGCCGCTCTGGCTGGGCCTGGCGGGGCCCGGGGCCGCGGCGGACGGCAGCGAACCCGCGGGCGGGGGCGCGCGGGGAGGGGCCCGCGCCGTGCGGGTGAGCGTGAGGTTGCCGCGGCAGGACGCGCTGCTCCTGGAGGGAGTCAGGATCGGCCCCGAGGCCGACCCGGCGCCCCAGCTGGGCGGCCGCCTGCTGCTGGTGAGAGCCGCGAGCCTACAGCCCCAGCCCCCTCCATGGCCCCCCGCCCCGCCCCCCCCCCCCCGCCCCCCGGCCCCGCCAGGTCCGACCTTTGTCTTGGACCCGGCTCTGGCAGCCCAAGGACTCCTTTCGAGGCTGCCCAGGCCCCCAGCATGCCAGATTCCAAAACCTGGGCTCTAGATGCCCTTCCTTCCAAACTGACTCCCAAACCTGGTCTTGCATCTCCTGTGTGCCTGACTCTCTTACCCCCTCCCCATGACCCCTCCCCACAGGTGGACATCGTGGATGCCGAGCAAGAGGTGCCCATAGAAGGCTGGATTGCAGTGGCTTACGTGGGCAAGGAGCAGGCGGCCCAGTTCCACCAGGAGAGTCAGGGCGGCGGCCTGCAGGCCTATCCCAAGGCCCTGATCCAGCAGGTGCAGCGGGTGTTGTATGTGGGGGAAGGAATTGGAGGAAGGGTCCCAAGGTATCTGCAGACAGAGATGGGCCCCTAAAGGAAACCCTGGGCCTGGGAGGGGCAGGGGACCCCACATAGGAGAGTCAGTATGGCATGGAAGCTGAGACGTAGAAGAGGCCAGCACAAGTCAGGAAGGTCCATCGGGCTGAGAGTACCTGCTGGGTTCATGGAGGGGTCTGCTCTGCTAGGCCGACCCAGGCAGCCTTCTATGGGCAGCCTTTCCCGGTCCCACAGAGTACCTAGGGGGAGGACGCGAGGAATAAGAGCTTCTGCCCTTGACCTCAGGAGCTTATAGCCAGTCTTTCTGGGGGAAATGCTCATTGCAGAGCGAGAGCTAAGAACTACTGTGTTCCCAGGTGGGGAGACAAGGATGTGGGCAGATGTATACTAGCCTCATCTTCTATCCTGCAGATGCGGAGGGCGCTCTTCCTTGGAGCCTCTGCCCTGCTCCTCCTCATCTTGAACCATAATGTGGTCCGAGAGGTAAACTGGATGAGGCTGTGTGGGTGTGCAGGCTGGGGTACAGGGGAGCAAGGCCAGTTGACCTTCCTGTGCCCTTACAGCTAGACATATCCCAGCTTCTGCTCCGGCCGGTGATCGTCCTCCATTATTCTTCCAATGTCACCAAGCTGTTGGAGGCACTGCTGCAGTGAGTTGGGTTTGGGGCTCCAAAGGACTGAGCCTGGGAGCTTGGGTCAGAAAAATGGGTGAGAGGATGGAAAGGAGGTGCCAGGACCGGGAGTGAAGATGAGACTCTGTGGGCAGAGGGGATTGGCTCTAGCAAGGAGAAACAGATTCCTGATTGATCCCCTTTTCTCTGGGCTGGTGGGTTCCCTGACCTGGTATAAGAACTAAAAAACAAAAGCCAGAAAAAGCTCTGGGAGGAAGGAGTTGCCCCAGGGCACCTGGGGGAAGGGCTTCGGACTGATACTTTGGGGTACTCTTTCCACAAGGCTAGGGGGTGGATAGTCTGGGCCTCCCCTTCCAAGAGCCCTTCTGTCTGCCACCTCTGTGGCCTTCCCTCCCAGGAGGACCCAGGCCACAGCTGAGATCACCAGTGGAGAGTCCCTGTCGGCCAACATTGAGTGGAAGCTGACCCTGTGGACCACCTGTGGCCTCTCCAAGGATGGCTATGGAGGATGGCAGGACTTGGTGTGCCTGGGAGGCAGTCGTGCCCAGGAGCAGGTGGGTACCTAGGAGAGAGGAGGCTCGGGAGGGGTCACACATGCCTTGTCCCTGAATGCTGTGGTCTCTCTCGCTGCCTTGGTGGCAAGCACAGCCTCTTCCACCTCCCGGGTGAGTACTGAGCAGTGCTTAACCCTGGATCATGCGAGTCATGTTAGCTGCTGTTGTCATGTCATTCTCCCCAGAAGCCTTCTTTGGCTACAGAATGAAGTTCAGACCCAGAGCCTGACTTGCACAGCTCTCCTGATTACTCATGCTCTTTTCTTAGTCTTATCCTGACACTCCAGGACCCCAGCACCCCATGTCATTTACTGGCCTCCACATGCAGCTAGTCCCTTGCTACTAGGCCTTATCCATGCTTGGCTTCAGGCATGAACACCCCTTTTCTCTGTCTGTGTCCTGGTCTAGCCAGAGACCTCACAACTCATCATGCTTGCCTTCTTTGTTTTTTTTTTAAGATTTATTTATGTATACAAGAGCTGGGGTGTAGGCCAGAGGTACGGTGAGTGAGAGGATTCAGAACAGGTAGATTGACTGAAATACACTGCTGAGGGGAGCAGCAGGCAAGACAGGAGAGGTCTGCTGCACCATGAGGATCACCTCCCTGGCCGGGGATCGAACTAGTGCTGCAGTAGCTGTGGATAGCTTGATAGTGCTGACTCTTAACCCCTTGTGCCACTGGGGAGACCCCGCCTGCCTTCTTTAGAAAGCCTTCCTCACATCCTCAGCTCACAGTCCCCTCTTCCCTCTCTGTCACAACAGTGTCAGATTCTTCTTCAGGCTCTTGGGACAGCCCATCCTATTTACATGCTGAGGTGTGTGACTGTCTCCTAAAGGTTAGAGCTGTGCCTATCAGTCTCTGGATTTATCGTGCTCAGCATTAAGAGGATTCAAAGGTAGTCTGTTTGCAAGCATTTTTCAATTCCCTGCTCTGCAAGTGGGAATGTCTGGCCCCCTGGCTTGCAGCGAGTGTTGGTGGGCATGGGCCATGCAGTACAGGCAGCCTCGGGTTTGGATGTGGCTCTGAAACCCTAGCTCAGTGATCTCAGGCTGAGTGTTTAACTTCTCTGGTGTCATGTTCCTCATTTGTGAACGGGGATGTAGATGGTCATGGGGCTGTTGGGGACTTGTCTATGTAATGCTCATGGTGGGCTCTGACCAACTGGGCAGCTGCTGGTACTGTCTTTACTGTTACGAGTGGTTGAATTAATCAGTGGTCGAATATATCAGTGGTCACCAAATAACTTTTGAGATCGTAGGACACTTGGGGCCTGGTAAGAAGGGCAGTGGAGTGTACAAAAGGCCTGTAAGACCCTGGACCTGCCCTTGAAGGGCTCAAAGACAGCAGGGAAGACCTTGGCAGTTCAGCCCAAACAAAACATGCTAACTCCTGTCTGAGCAGCCTGAACTGCAGCTCTGTGGCAGGGATGAGTACTGAGGCCTGGGAACAGGAGGACTTTCTGGAAGTCAGGGGAGCCCCACGGACCTCCTCCACACAGACCTCTGTGGGTTGCAGGCATTTGGTAAGGGGTGTCAGATAAGAGACTGTGAGGAAATGTCAGCAGAAAGACCAGATCATGGCGGGAGGCCCCAGGAGGCCTGAGGTAGGGTATAACAATCTGCAGGTCAGTCTTGTGGGTACAGAAGGCAAAGCTGAACAGCCGTACTGCCGGCTGGGCTGGGCCCATACAAGTGTCAGATGACCATGGTAGCTGAGAGTGGCTGAGGCAGACTCTCAACCTTGACCCAGGCCAGTCACCACAATCCCAACTTCTGGGAATCCAGTGCTGCAGCATTGTCCAGCAAATCTCATCCCGATCCTTTGGACAAGCTCTGACCTTGCCCTTCCGCCTCACCTGGGGATCCCAAATATGCACTGAGCCTGGGGAGGCTGGGTCTCTGGACCACACCCACAGCCCCCAACACTCTCTGGGCTCAGCATGGTATGGCTTAGCCCAGGGCTTATGGGGCTATATGTGGGGCAATCTGCCAGAGCAGCTGTCAGATCGCTGGGGGGAGCACTGAGCTGGTGGTGGGCCTGGGGCCACTATGGCGGGGCATAGTAGTCACCCAAGCTCAGCCTAGGGGCCATGGAGAGAGCTTCCTGGAGCAGGTGCCACCACACTGGGGGGAAGACAGGCCCTCAGGGGAAGGGGTGGGATGGAGTGGAGAACTGGAGCTCACAGATACCTGTTGGTAATGGCCCCAGGGGTGCCTTCATCTGAGTAAGAGCAACCTTTTGCGGCACTAGCAGCCCCAACCTGTCAGTCACTTCTTGGTCCCTCCCCCCACATGATGGTAATTAAACGTCAGCATAGGCTGCAGGAGAACATGGCAGAAAACTACCGGAGCGCGAAAAACTTTGATTGAAACATGTTTATTGGTTATGACACATCACAGACCCCGAGAAGAGGTGTGCCTGTGGGGAGCCTGCTGTTTTGCTTACGTGGCCACGTTGATTCCTGAGCCTCTGGCATAGTCAGAGCCCAGCCACTGTGCCGCATGTGGTGGAAGTTAAGTCAAGACCAGTGTGGGGCCTCCCCGGTGGTGCAGCGGTTGAGCTCTGGGTTGCGAAGCTGCCCGCAGCCTCTGCAGCGCCGGTTCGATCCCCGGCTGCTCCCCGGCCACCGGAGGAGGGTCCCACATGGCGTGCAGACCTCTCCTGCCGCCCGCTGCTCCCCTCAGCAGTGTACTTCCGTCCTTCTGCCTGTTCTGTTCCCCGCTCTGGCTCTGGTAAATTCTTTCACCCTCCCGCGCTTCTGACTGTACCCAGTGCTTGTATGTATAAGTAAATCTTAAAAAAAAAAAAAAAAAAAAAAAGACCAGTGTGGTCCCCCAGGGACTCTGAGGTTAGGAACCCCAAAGGCCTCTCAAAGACTAAATGAAGTGGGTCAGATTGGTTCCCTCCAACATCAGGGACCTGAGGACCCAGGCAGAGAGTAGGCATAGGGATTGGGCAGGGGAGGAGGCAAGGGGGCAGCATTTGGCCAACCAAGGTCGGGGTGAACTTCTGGAGTAAGGGGTGTCCAGAGGCATCAGTCAGGGGAGGTGGCAAGGAAGGGCAGAGCTCCCAATTCAGGGAAGAGTATGGAAAGCCACAGATGTGGAGGGCGAGGAGGGCTGGAGTCCGCGAGGGTGGACAGGTAGAGGAGTCTGGGTTTTCTGTGGACGGCAGGAAAAGGGAGCGAGGGATGTACTGAGAAGGGTGTCAAGCAGGGGTGCAGCGTGACCAAGTTGGCAGTTGAGAATTCCTGTGGTGGTGGGTGGGGGACACTAGCCTCCTTGGAGAGTGAGGCACCAGGGCCTGGGGCCCTCCGTGAGGGCTTGCGGATGTTCAGCCTGGAAGCAAGTAGGTGGATCGGGGGCTGAGAAAGCAAACCAGGGGGCTGTATGGCTAAGGATGGGGGTAGGAAGGTAACAGCGTCCTGGGCTGGGGAGTTGGTATGGCTCTCAGATGGAAACTTCCATGAGTGCAAAAACAGGGGGTTTGTTGCCCTGAGAAGGACTGGGCTGGAGACAGGAGCAGTACACCTCTTGCTCCCATTTCCCGCCGTCCACAGAAAACCCAGACTCCTCTACCTGTGCAGGGGGAGTGAAGGCAGCTGGGCGACCTTGCGAACACACGGGTGGACAGAGTATCAGAAGAATCCAGGATCCTGTAGGGACTTGCATGTTGATGGACCTTACCTGCCTGGTCTGGGGAGATTAACCGGGGGCAGAGGGCGGAGCAGCCCTGGCACCCACTCTCCTCTCCCTAGAAGCCCCTGCAGCAGCTGTGGAACGCCATCCTGCTAGTGGCCATGCTCCTGTGCACAGGCCTCGTGGTCCAGGCCCAGCGGCAGGCATCAAGGCAGAGCCAGCAAGAGCCCGGAAGCCAGGTAGGAGCCCGGAAGCCAGGTAGGAGCCAGCGCAAGAGCCCTGATACCCCCAGCCCTAGGGCCTGCCCAACTGTGCCTGCCCTCCCCCCACAGGTGGACCTGCTCAAGCGCCGCGTGGTGCAGAGACTGGCATCCCTGAAGACCCGGCGCTGCCGTCTGGGTAGGGCCGCGCAAGGTCCCCCAGAGCCTGGGGCTGAGACCTGCGCTGTGTGTCTGGACTATTTCTGCCACAAGCAGGTTAGTGTCCTGGGTGGAGGCTGGTCATCAGCTGACCTGTGATGTTCCCCACCCTGCTCTGAAGGACCCTGGGAAACATGCCCATCAGATCCTTCTCTCACACCCCACCAGGCCTATGGAAAGCAGAACTGGGGGTAGGGGACAAGGCTTAAAGGTTTCAGTTCCTCAGCTCAGATGAGGGCACAGGGCCAGGCATCCCCACCTGGAGGCCTATTCTTATGGCCTGAGCCTTCCCCTCCTACCCCCAGTGGCTCCGGGTGCTGCCCTGTAAGCATGAATTTCACCGAGACTGTGTGGACCCCTGGCTCATTCTCCAGCAGACCTGCCCGCTGTGCAAATTCAATGTCCTAGGTAAGCACCAAGTGTGGGGGCCATTGGCTGGCTCCACGAGATCCCCACCTCACTCTCCTGTTCTTTTTCTTCCTCCCCTTCAGGGAACCGATATTCAGATGATTAGCCTCCCCGACTGGGTCTCTGCATGTGGGGATGGGACCCCTCCCGTCTGCACCCTGGCCCTCGGCCTGGGCGCCTGAAACAGGACAGCAGAATGGAAAGAACAGGATGGGAGGATGAAGAAGGGCCCGCCCCTGTTGAGGGGCGAGATGCCCTACCCCATCCACACTGGGAAGGAGGAGCCACTGCCTCCAGGCCGGGATGCTGGGCCCAGACCTGCCAGTCACAGAGGAGAAGTCACCTTGGGACCCCTGTGCAGTCCTGGGGTGTCTGTGTCTGCTGTCCTTGCAGGCAGCTCCCAGAACCCTGAGCAAGGACCTGGGAAAAGAGGGTGTGGGGCAGTGCAGTTGTTCCCAGGGCTCTAGGCGCTGTGGCCTGCCTGTCCGGGCACCCCTGGGGCTGAGGATGTAGTGGTTGGGTTTTGTGATTATTTATTGGGTGGGGAGGGGTTGGGGGAGGAGCTGCCTGGTCATGGGGGCACCTTGACCTGGCCATTTTTCAGGACATACCTTGGTCAAGACTATGGCCCTCCACAGTCTGCTGCCCTCGGACCTTGGGCACTGGGAGCCATAGCTCCCATTGCCTGTCCTGCCGGGCCGGGCCCAGAGCCTTAGAAACCACCGGTCCTGTGCTTCTCGGTGGGGCTGCAGGTTGCTGACCAGGATACTTGAAGCCACAAGTCATTGTGGTGCATCTTCCAGGGGCATCATTTTTTAGAACACTTGGGATGGGGAGGTTTAATATGAAATAAACATGGATATATTTTACATAAGACACCGTAACATTCGTGTAGATGTGTTAAGATGAACACGTTGGCTTGGGCTCTACTGCTGGTGGGAGGTGGATTCTAAAATGCCCCCCGAGATCTCCCTCAGCCCCCGTGAATGTGCCTTCTGTAATCTTGCGACTGTGACTCCAGTGGCTTTTACACGATTAGGTGATGTTACACGACATGCACAGTTGCCCCCGGGGTGGGGGAGGCTCACAGGTGGGCCTGCCCTAATCAGGTGAGCCGGGTGCAGGCAGGGTTTTCTCTGATGAGTGGTAGAAGAGGCAATCTGAAGAAATTTGAAGGGAATTATAAATCTCTCAGACTTGGAGGTGGGGAGGCCATGTGCTAGTCAGCAGGAAATAGACATCAGTGTACTACTCCAGGAATCGGAATTCCGCCAACAATAAGTGAGCTTACAAGTGACGTCTCCAGAGATGTCAAAAGGGACTGCAACCTGGCAGACACTTTGATTTCAGCCTTCTAAGACCCTGAGTGAGAATCTAGTCATAGGCATGGACGTCTGACCTGCACAACTATGAGCTAATGAATGCAGAGAGGAGCTGAGCCCCCTGCACTTGGGCCTAGGCCTCCTGCCTGAGGGACCCCCCCCCCCCGAAGGCTGCCTGTCACTTGTGAGGCTCCCTCAGAAACCCCTGGCTCCACAGAAACAAGAGTGGGGCAGACCCCGGTGATGCCAGCTCAGCTACATTCAATTCCACTCTTGACCCTTCTCTAGACTGAGGCACTGTTGGCCTCACCAGGAGGAAATGGCATGGGAAGCTGGAGCGCCAACCCTGAGAGGTGCTCAACAAGGTCACAGAGCCTGGCTTCAGTGAGGTGACAAGGCAGGCCGGATGCTTCATGAGGAAAATGATTGCTAAGGCTCTGGTGTGGCTGGCAGGCAGCATCTTGTGCGGGGTGGATCCCATGGGACCGGCCTGGAAAAGCCAGAGCTGCCTGGGGTGTGACACTAGTTGGGTAGTCCTTGTTCTGCCTTCAGTGACCCCTGGAGATGCAACTCATGGATTCAGAGAAACACTTAGCAACTCACATTTCCTGAAGCTGAGGGCTTCCTCAGTGAAGGACCCGGGACTAAGGAAGGTGTCGCTGCCCTCTTTGTGCCTGCCTCAGAGCTGGGACCCCAGCCTGATTCCTTCCTTGCCTCATACTGGGCCCACCTTGGCAGCTGCTGTCCTTCTGCACACCTCTGCCCAGACGCTGCTCGTCACTGGTGCGCTTCACTGAGTCCATGCTACCCTCCGGTCTTTGCAAGGGGATTGAAAGACTCCCTTCACCTGACCCAAATGCCAGACGCATCTTTCTGCCCTCGGTGTGCCCTTTTCTCTAACTGCCCTGTCAGTGAGGACTGTGGAATGAAGCTCCCAGTAGTGAGGGCCCACAGTGTGCCAGGACTCTGCTGGCCAGTGACCCCTGTGGCTGGGGACTCAGTAGTCCCTGCCCAGGAAGGGGAAGGAAGAACTCTTCCCTGGGCTCAGCCAGTGCTGCAAGGCCAAGGTTTCTGTGGGCAGATGGCGGGGCTTTATTACATTAGGTGGGTTGCCAGCCACCTGCCCACCAGCCCCACTCCACTGCAGGCTACAGGGGCCGCTCCTGGGGCAGGTGTGCAGAGCTGACCTGGCCCCGGCCTGGAGAGAGTCTCCTTCTCAGCCTGGCCAAGGCCCTGATGGGGTTCTGGGTGCAGATGGTCGATTGGGTCACGTCCTCCAGGGGGGACTTGGTAGGCCGGCTGCAGGGCTGCTGAGCTGGGGATGCCCGGGATTGGCCTGGCAGGGTCCTGCCCGCACTGGCTGTCCTGCTGCCAGGCAGGTGCCTTCTGCCCAGCGGTCTGAGGGAGGATGAGATGGCAAGATTTCCCATGAGTGAGGGGAACCAGCTCAACCCAGTCTTCCCCGCCTCTGGCAAAGCTTCACTCACCCTGGGGATGTCCTTGGGAACGGGGCTGGAGGTGATGTTCCCCGGGTCCCCTTGCTTGAAGGGGCCCAGAGCTGGTCCTGCGGGATCAGCTGCAAAGAAAGGCAAATTCAGAAGGGCCCACTGTACATAGAGTGTCATAGCTGGGGAAGGGAGGTTCTGAACCCCTAGTCACAGCCCATTCTTCTGAGGGTTTGAGAAGTCTTCCAGGGCCACCCCAGCTGCAGGTCAGTGTGGGAAGGCTCCTGGTTGCATTGGAAATAAAGGTATAAAGAGCTAGAGGGATTTGGAGCTAGAAGGCACTGGATCTGTTCCCTTTCCACGAGCTTTCTGAAAACAGTGAGGCTGAAAGACATGTATGATGAGAATCCCCAACAACCCCCTAGTGTGATCAGGTGGGCTCTCAAGTCTCTACTGGGCTGGGGCCTCCTCCAAATCCCCAAGGACCTGCCCTTTCAGGTGGGGGAATCCAGGTGCCCACCTTGAGGCTTCCCTGCTGGGCCACCTCCCGGATTTTGGACAGCATGGACTGGAGTCGCCCATTCTCCTCCTGTAGGACCCGGATGCGGATGTCATTGGCCTGCACCTGCCTCTCCATGTCATCAGTGATGTTGCCAGAGCCTGTGGAGACAAGCGTCTGGAGCTCACTCTGCCAGGTTCTCCTGCGCCCAATGAGGCAGGCCCCTGGACGGCAGGCATGCCAGCTTGAGCGTGCCTTGGGCCAGTGACCCCACCTAGTGGGCAGGGTCAGTATATCAGGCCTCCCACCTCCCCATCCCCTCCCTCCTGGGAGGTGACCACAGCATTATAGAATTTGAGAGCTGGATGGGACCTAGCACTCGCTGAAGACCTGACAAATAGGTAGGAAAGTGATTCTCTTCCAAGGTTGCCCATTTTCAGAGGGCCTGAGAGGCAAAGTGAGTTGTCCAGAGTCACACAGGTGGCTCTTTTGGTACCAGATTTCAGCAAGGATGTTCTTTCCCACCATCTTCCTTCTGGTTCTACAAACCCCCGCAAATTGTTGCCCACTCTGATTCTTGGTTTCCTGGTTTGTTAAAAGGGGCTGCTACCTGCCTTGCCAGGTAGAGGAGACGGCAACAGAAGAGCCCGAAGACCACTGAGAAGTGCTCACTTATCCTAACAGCTGAATTATTGTCGGTCTTAACAGCTCTGCAGATGGATTCACCCCCCAGAACTTTAGAGAACTGGAAGAGCGGGGAAAAGATCCCTGTTGCTGGCACCCAGTCCTCCACTGACATGGCTACTCCACTGTCCTGTGCAGTGGGATCCAGGACACTCAACAGATGGGGCTGTGCCCCTACCGCTGGCCCCATGTGTGGTTTGGGGCGACACCGGGATGGGGCACATAGAGAAGTGATGTCTGGCCTGTGACATGGTGAAAAGCACAGGTCACAGAGACTGCCAGATGCATCTGGATCCAGCTGCGTGACCCCGGGTAGTCATGTCACCTCTGGGCTTCTCCACAGAGGAGTAGGTAACACATACCCTAAGCAGCCCCCTTGCCCTCCGACACCCTCCATACCACTCCTAAGCCCCTACTCTGGATTTGGGCCTCAGTAGGCCTGTGCAGGTCTGGGAAGGCCACCAGCAGCCGCTCCCGCTCCCTCAGCTCCACCAGCTCCCGCTCCAGCTCCGAGATGGTCAGCCGCAGATCCGTTGTCGCCTGCTCCAGGCCTTGCTTCTCCCGCTGCAGGCTCTGCAGTAACTCCTGGGGTGGAGGAAGGCTCAGACCTGGTCTGAGGAACAGGTCCTAGCTCCCCTGGGGGGCACCTCCAATCCCTCCTCCCCACAAACATGGGACAGGCCCACAGGCCCTCTGCTGGCAGGGGGCTCCTTGGGTGAAAGGGAAGAGCTGCCCCAAGCCCTCACCCTGCCCACTCTCACCTGCTGGGCCCGGAGCTGGCACTGCCCCTGCTCCCTCTCATTCTGCAGGCTCTGCAGCTGCTCTTCCACATGGGCCCGCTGGGCCTCAGCCTCATCCAGACTGCCCTGTAGCTCTTCCCGCTCCCGGTCCAGGCTGTCCAGCTGCTGTAGCAGGGCTCGCTGTTTGGCCTGCAGGGACTGAGTCGGGATGGGCAGGCAGGGAGGCCATGAGGCCGGTGGGACTAGATGCAGCCCCATGGGACTAAGGAAGCTGTAGTATCTGTGGCCCAAGCCTTCCCCCTTGTGCAGTGGCATGTGTCTGTGTACAGGAGCGGGGGCTGGTGCACGTGTGTGGAGAGGAAAAGGCAGGGAGTACAGCAGCAGCAGGCTAATGCATACCCCAACTGGTCAAGGCCAGAGCCCCAGCTTGCAGATCCCACACCCTTGGGAAGGCAGTTGGGTGACTCCATCAGTCTCCCCTCCCATTTCTTCCAATCTTAGTCTCAGAGTTCTACCTGGGGTCATGGCTCCCCATCAAGCCCTTTGAGGATAAGCTCGGACAGAAGAGTCTCACAACTGTCCCCTTCTCTAGATGACAGCCCACTTGCTCCCTCAGCTATCCCCCTGGGGACTTCTGCAAGGCTGCATTGCCCAGGGCACAGCAGTATCTTGGGCCCGGATCCCTGCTCACCCTCTGCCTTCCCTATCCTTCCTCTGGCTGATTAACTAATCACCAGTCATTGGCATGCAGTTCAACAGCCTCCCCTCCCAGAAGCTATTCTGGGTCCCCACAAGCAGATGCGACTGCCCCCCCCCGGGTGGGCCCCTGTAACATTTTCCCCACCCTTACTCATCTGGCAGGAGAGCTGTGGAGACACAACTGCTCTTCCTCGCTGGGTGGGGAGCACCTCTGGAGCAAAGCATTTGGCTTAGACCTTCCATGAAGGTGAGTCAAACTGGCATGTGCTGGGGAGCAGTGCTCGAGACAGAGGAGCCCCCCATCCACCAGTAGAGCCCTCTTCCTGCAGTCATACTACAGGCCAAGGCCCCAGACCTCACCTCCTGATGACGGACCATGCTATCGACGCGGGCCTTCTCCTTGTCCAGCTCTGTGCTGGCCCAGAGGATCTGCTGGCTGGCCCCGTCCAGCCGCCCTGCCAGCAGCTGCACCTGCTCCTCCAGCTGCTGTACCTGCCTCTCAGCCTCCACCCTGCGCTCAGCTTCCTCCTGCAGCTGCTGGGCCTTTGTCTCTGCAGGATCGAGTAGGTTTGGGAAGAGGTAGTGCAGAAGAGCCCTGGGTCCAGTCCCTGCACTGCCTCAGACCTGAGGGGCAGGGGGTGGGGGTGGGGGCAGGTCCAGCTCATCTCCGAACTGCAGTATTCTCAGTTACAAAATGGAGCTCTCTCTGAACCTCACCTGAGGTGGGTTCTGAAAATAGAAGGTGGCACCCAGCTCAGGCCCTCCCCCAACAGAGCAGGTCAGACCCACCCTCTTTAGTGGTTCCCTTTATTTTTAGCCCAGAAGCCCAGGGACAGCGATGGAGGGTGCCCACCCAGGTGCATGCCCAAGCGCAGGGCAGTGATCCAGGACCACACAGTGGGGCTTCTCACCCATGGCCTGCATGGACTCCTGCTGCTGCTTTAGCTCCCCCTCCAGAGCTGCCACCTTCATCTTGAGGTCACTTGTTTCTATGGCAGCAAAGAGAGAGAAGCTCTTCAGAGGCTCCCTGGGCCATGGCCAGTGGCCTTCGTACCCAGCACACCCTGCAGAGCACCGGCAACCATCACTGAGGGGGGCGGTCTGGGCTTGTGGGTGAGCGCTGAGGGGTCTTTCCGCTCAGCTTCCTATTGGCTGGTTGCCCTACATCTCTCTGGGCCTCAGTATCCTCCATGGAGGCAACAGGGAGGCTGAGAAAGGGCTGTGGCTTGTCCACATCACTCAGCCCTCACACCAATCCCCTTTCAGGCACCCGAGCTGCATTGCTTTGCTGAAGGGCTTTCCCCAAAGTGAAAGAAGGCATGCTGCTTGGCTGGTGGTATGAGGGGAACGAACACCCCCAGAGTCACTGTCCATGACCAACAGGACCCCATTCCCTTGTGCCTCTGATGGTACAACTCCAAGGCACATGCTCTACATGTAGGTTCCAGTGTTCCCCAGTGGGACTAAGTTCCCACATGGTAGCTGCTTTGAGGCCTACCTTCCTTTTAGCTACCCTGTGTGTCTTGCCAGCTCCCCAGCCAGAGTTTCTTCCACACAACTACTTGTACCTGCAGCCCTATCTCAGAGTCAGCTTCTGGGAGAGCCCATGCGAAGGCTGGAGCAAAGCCCGGGCCTCTCTGTGCCTCTGTGGTACAGACCTGTGAGAAGTTGCTGCTTGTCACACTCCCACTTGGTCAGATGCTGCTTGGCCTCGTCTGCCTGGTGCTGCCGCTCCCCCTGCTCCTGCTGCAGTGCCTGCTCCAGCTCCCCCACCTGCTTCCTCAGGCCAGCCTTCTGGCCCTCAGCCTCCTCCAGCTGGGCCCTGAGAGGCCCAACAAGCTGAGTGAGGGCCCCCACGTGCTTACTGAGGCGGGTCAGGTCTTTGCTCTGTTCTGTCGCCCAGTGGCCCACAGTGGCGGCTGGCAGTGGCCTGAGCCCCATGCTGTCCTGCACCAGCTGCTGAAACTGGCCTAAGGACGAGGGCAAGTTCTGGCTTTGACACAGGCTGATGACCACCTTGCCGACCTCCTGCAGGCTACCCTGGACGCTGGTGCACGCATCACAAGGAACCAGGGCTGTCTCCACAGTCTGGGAGTGGACGCTCCTGGTGTTCTCCACGGTTCGGGCCGGACATTGTAGGGCAGCGCTGACTGGAAGGCTGCCAGGCTCTTGGTTGGTTTGGGGTGAGTCTGGCATTGGGGAGGGGGACTTGATGAACTTGGCAATCACAAATTCAGGGCTCCTGACCGGCTCGCCCTTGGCTGTGGGCTTGGACGTGGGGTTCTCTCCTTGGTTTGCCCTTTTCTGTGATCAGGTAAAGAAAGGGGAAGAAGGTGAAGGAGACAGGCCTAGGAGATAACCAGTTTCCAGGGGCTTTCTGTGACAGCCTCTCCTGATGCTCAGCCCCTCGGATGTCATCTGACACTTATGTAAATGGGAACCTTCTCCCACTCCCTCAGCTTACCCCAGCCAGGTCTCCTCTATTGCCCCCGCCCAGGCTCTGTGCAGTTAAAGCAGGGTGCTGGGAGGGTGACTATGACAGCCACAGCTGCTGGTTACTAAGTTCTTACTTCATTCTTGTTCTCATGTTACCATCGCTACTGTCAGTTTCTGTTTCCTCCCCACTATGAGTTGTTAACTGGGTGGTTGTGAAGATTATGTGTTAACCCATAAGAAGAGGAGCTCTATTAACAGCATTACCCAATAGTGCCTTAAGAGGTAAGGAATGCTATTGTTCCCACTGTATAGATGAACAAAGTGAGATTCAGAGCAGGTAGGTGTTTTCCACAGTCCCACATTGTAAATGGCAGAGCCAGGTAGCCTAGACTTGACCCCCAAAGTCTATGTTGCTGTTATGTTGCCTGGGCCCTGGTTGGAAGGCTCCAGAATTGACACTGTCCTTGGGCAGAGTGGAGCTAGCTGAGGATGCAGCGCACACATGGCGTGCTAGGGAGTTGAGGCAGGGCAGATGGCATAAGGGTGACCACAGTTAGGGAATGGGGGTGAGACTGACCCACCTGGGGAGCCACCGGCTGGTAGAGCATGCCTAGCCTCAGCAGGCTGTTCCAGAAGCGCCGCACTGTAAGCCCCACAGACATGCAGGGTCCTGCAGCCCGAACAGGGGGCATTATCTGCTCTGTGCTAAGGTTCTCCAAGTAACTTGCACAGCTCTGAAGCAGTAACAGGAGCCTGTGGGTAGAGATGCCAGGGTAGACCGGGTGCACTGTGCCCTTCTGCCATACAACAAGCAGCCTGTGGTTCTGGGGAACTGGCCAGGCCTCAGGGAACTTGGAGCATCTCAGAATATGCTCTGCTGGTCCAGCTTCAAACCCAACTCAGGGCATCTTCTAAGCTTCCTGGGTGGCACACTTCCACCTGGCTACCCCCACTGGACCGTGATTCTCTGGGAGGCCAGGCCTTGCCTCAGTTGTATCCTGTGTGCCAGAGAGTGTAGGGTGGGTGGCTGCCTACATCATGGGAGCACCCTCATCCCAGAGGACAGAGCTGAGACCCTGAGAGGGAAGAGGCCTGCTCAGCACTTGGAGTAGGAGAGCATCTGGAAAAAGGGCAGAGTGTAGACTTGAGAGAGCCCTCTGTCTGCGCACACAAATGAGGCTTCATGCTGGGAGACTGCTTTGCTGTCTGCATTATCTTCATCCCTAGCCTTGATCTCATCCTGGACATGAACCGAGCACCTCCAAATGCCATACCCTGAGCTGATGGCTATAGCCCTGTCTTCAGGGCTACCATGCTGATTTAGGTCTCAGACACAGCAGCCCTTGCCAGGAGGGTGTTCTAACTAATTCAGCCAGAGGTGAGCAGAGGGGTCAGGTGTGGGGGTGGGAAGATATGTCAGCAACAGCTTCCAGAGGTGGGGGATGGGTAAATTGGGGCTTATTGTGTGGGTAGGGCACTCTTAGCAGAGGGCACAGCATATGCAAGGCCCTTGAGGAGGGAAGATATTTCTGTACTTACACACATTCAGTCCCTCACACGTTACAAATGGTGGTCCGAGGGTGCCTCCAGACCTGTGTGTGGGTACCTAGGCTGCTTTGTTCCTGAGTAAGTCATCCCCAAACTGCTAGGGTCCCTGCCTGTTGGGCCTCCATGACTTTATTAGCTTGTAAGGTTTTGAGCACATGGAGCCTGGGTTACGGTCCCCAGGAAGAGGAAGACTGACGGCCATGGTAACTTGAATGATGGTGAGAAAGTGGTAGGGCTGGGGGGGAATCCACTGGCCTCTTCCCAGCAGGGCCTGGAGTTGGAAAACACATCCCGTGTCTGGCCCCGTGACACACACAGGGAACAGCACAGCCCACAAGCCGCCAGGAAAAGGAGCCGAGGATGGAAACTCTGAGCAGCAACTGTGGTCCCCACAACACAGAAAGCCTGAGGAGGCAGCTGGCAGTGGCCAGAGAGGCAGCAATCAGAACTACAGTGCCACAGAGACCAACAGGGTGGCCAGCAACTCCTGAGGGTGGCAAGGATAGGACAGCAGAGCACCACACACAACACCAGGTGAGATCACCGTGAGCTGACCTGGCCACTAACAAATACTTGGTGTCTGTTGTCACCCAAGGGGACTATTGTCACCAAGTCACACCACCAATGGAGGGGACGCTGCAGCTGCTACTGGTGTAAGGGGCGGGGGCCAGTATCCCGAGACTCAAGGCTCTCACCTGTCAATGACCAGCTCCAGCAGCACAGCATGGGACAGCTGTGTGAACTCGGGGTCACCAGGCACATGGTCATAGTGCTCTAGCAGAGCTACCATGTCCAGGTCACAGGCCACACGATCAGGGAACTTCCAGGAGGGGAAGCGCACGGGCCCGGCACGGGAGAACACATCCACGATGGCACCCTGCAGGTCGGTGAGGTCCTTGCGCAGGCTGTCCATGCAGGCCTGGCTGCCTAATAGGTGCGCCATCCTCACAGCTCCTGGGACAGGTAGAGAGGTGCCCGTTAGCCAGAGCCTCACAGCCACTGCTGGTAGAGTTTCCTAAACCCCCACCTGCCCTGTTAATTCTAGGCCAAAAGTCTACCCTAGATCCTGGGGAGAAGTCTGTTCCCTGGCCCCAGGTCACTCTGGCCCCAGGTCACCATGCCCTTGAGGATCTGGTTGTGGGTGACCTCACCAGCCTCCCTCTCACCTACCCTACCCTGAGCCCACACTGCTAATTCCTTTGTCCCACAAGTACCTCCAAAAGTCTGTATGTGCCAGATCCCTGCTAGATGCTGGGTGGGTACATTTATGAATGAGAACATACTTCCTGTCCTTCCCTCCCAGAGCGAACCACTGAAGAGGCAACTATCAACTGAAAAGAAGGTGTTCCTACATGCTGGGGCATGCTGGGCCACACCAGGCCACTGTCTCCCACCTGGGCTACTGTAGCAGCTTCCGGCAGGGCCACAGGTCTGCTGATTCAGCTCTGATCCACTGTATCTCCAGAAATCTGGGCCAAACCTGACATGACCATGTCACATTGGCCAACAAACCCTTGGGACTCCCTGCGGGTCTTGAGAGAAAAGTCACCTCTGGATACACTCTTCACGCCTCCCTCTCTAGTCTACCTGCTCTCTGTCATACTCTCCATGCCAACCATCATCAGGTATGACCTGCTAATTCTGAATCTGCCTATCTGTCTCCTCTGAATCATGCTTCCTCTGTGCAGTCCCCATCACCTGGCTAGCTCCTGTCATCCTTCAGCACTCTTGGCTATCACCTCTTTCAGAAAGCCTTTCTTGAGCATCCTGAGCTGGGTCAGATAATCCTTCTGAGGTTCCCCCATCTCAGCCCTGATTACTCTCTGCTGGAATGGCCTTCCCTCTCCAAGCAAGGTCCACAGTCTAAGTCATTGTGGCATCCCCAGGATGGTCAGCCTGGGGTCAGCCTGGGGCCTGGCCGATTGTAGATGCTCACTAGCGACTGAGTAGAGGAAATAAAAGAATCCACAAAGAGGGCCTCCCTGGTGGCCTAGGGGTTAAGTCTGAACACAATCACTGCTACAGCCTGCATTCCATCTTCATCCAGAGAGCTAACCCAAATATGGCACAGCAGACCTCTCCTTGTCTCACTCGCTGCTCCCCTTAGCAGTGTATTTCAGTAAATCAGCCTGTTCTTCTTCCCACTGTTTCTGGTGAATTCTTTCACCCCCTGCACCTCTGGCCAAACTCTCTTCCCTTGTGGCCCGCACAGCAGGCTTCTTGTTTATCATCTGGAGCCTGTGGACAACTAGGGCTAGTTTGGACAAGCTGTTCATGGCCTTGACTCAGAAGTGGAGAAAGGTGATACAGTTGTGGCCCCTACTGTGGCTCAGTACGAGTCGTGGGGGCTTTACCCTCCAGTGACTGGTGTCCAAGCCAGCCCTCTTCTCAGAACTGGGCAGCACAGTAAATGCTAAGTTCTGGCTCCTCCCCACCCTGAGGCAGGGCTCCTTGTTGGTGGTGGATTTCTCAGCATCAGAAAGCTCGTCCTTGTATCACAGCCCCTCCTTGAAATGCTGAGACTGCTTGGGCAGCATTTAGGCCATGGCCTGTTTAACCCACCTCCCCCAACAATCCCCTACCCCCAGTAAGGTGAGGCCTGGCTGGAAACTTCTCTTCCCCCAAACCTATATCTGACCCCAGCATCCCTCATCTCAGAAAATTGCACACATACACCCTCCCGCCGAGTGTAACTGTTCCACCTAAGTCTGGGTGCTTTGTTGAATCCCCTTTCCTTTACTCCCATATCCAAACACTTGGCACTGTCAACTCTACGTCCAGATCACGCTGAGAACACACCCCTTCTGTCCATCAACACTGTTCTATACACCACCATCTCCCGAGACCACTGCCCACAGCTGCCCCCCTGAGGAGTCATGCTCTTCCCTCTGCCCAGTGCGACCTTGTCTACCTGTATATGGTAGCCAGAGGGTAAAAGGTAGCTCTCCCCGCTGCTTAAACCCTTTATGTTTTTTTTCAGGATAAAGACTGGACCACTTTCCTGGGCTCTGACTCTTTGTGGTCTATCTCCATCTCATCACCACCCAGAATATGCCCCTCCCCATATTTCCTCTAGATAAGGCACCTCCCTTGAGTCACCAGACCAGGTAGGACCCCCTGTTACACACTGTCTTAGAGTATCCTGTTCTTTTTTTCCCTGCACTGGCACTGAACCACTATTTGAGTATTTATTTGTGGATGGCAGTCTGCTTCCCGAGAGCACATGGACTGTCTTTTGAGCTCACTGTAGTATGACCTGGCCACCTGGGGCAAGGGGCCTGAGGGCCAGCCTGTGCCCAGAGGTGCTGGGAAGCTCAGAGGTAGACTGGGCTGAACTGGTCTCCCCCATAGGGAGGCCCTGTCCTCACCTCTGTGCAGTTGCCTGTCTGTGGAGCTGGATGTCTGAGTATGTCCAGCTCTCAGGCTAGCCTGCGGTGTTGGGCTCAGGATCAGAGGCTCATCATCCAGGTGCCTTGCTTCCAGTCTCCAGTGCAGGGCTGGCCCCGAGCAGTTCTTCAGTCACTGGGACGGATGAAAGCAAGAGTAAGTGGGCAGTAAGGGAGGGCAGGGAGGAGGCTGTTCAAAAGGGAGGGGTGGGTGTCCCAGGTTTGAGGAAGGGGGTGAGAGAAAGGGCAGGAGGCTTGCCTGCTTGGAGTCTGAGCACAGAGGGCATGCTTCAGTGCTCTGATTGCAGGACTCACTTCCTCAAATCTGCCTCCTTTATACAGATACGGAAACTGAGGTTCTGAAAAGTTAGGGGACTTGCCCCAGGTCACTCAGAGAGCTAGGATTCTTGATTCTAGCCCTTCTGCTCTATCCTCAGGTCATGTTGCTTCTAGAGCAGCAATGTTCAAGAGAAATACAATGCAAGTCATTCATGGGACTTCAAATTTTCTACTAGACACATTCAAGAAAGTAAACTCAAACAAGTTAATAATATATCTAATTTAATAATATATCTAATTTACCCCAAATATCATCACTTCAATTGAAATTAATATACAAATTTAGGGTTTTTTCCTGCTTTAAGTCTCAAAATCCAGTGTCTATTTCAAATTTGTTGACTAGGCAATTGTCTCGTGAGATATTGCCACCCATGAGATTTTATATCCCCAAGGAATGAAGCAGAAAAACAAACAAAAACCAGAATGAAGCATTCTGGGTTTCCTTCCTGGATAGGAGGAAGAAAATACATAAATCAAGCAAGAAACCCCACCCAGGTAGGGGCCAAATTCAGGTGGCAAAACACCTGGAACTCAGGAGCTTGCTTGTGAAGATACCCAGAAACACTGATCTGTTCACCCTCAAATAAGTATAGCTGCCATAGGGGCCATGTGAGATACCAACCCCTGCTAGACTCTGCTTCTGATAAGCAACAACATCTGCCAAAATATCAAGAATATAAAAAAGAAAAACAAAATATTGAAAAATATTTAAGCCTACCTCATGTCATTTCTTTTGAAGTTAGGGTTTTGTAGATTTAAGCATGGGCTGAGAATCACTTAACGTGTGTCAAATGAAGGAGAATTTGACATGGGCTCCCCTGTAATTCCTGGACCTGAGTGGAACCCTCAACCTGAACCTGCACTGCTCCTGAGATCACACTTTGGCACTCATTGAACAGACACTGCTCTGAATTAGGAGCAGCCAATTTCCTTGAGCTTAAAGTTGACTTTTGACTCAGACAGGAGCCTTTTCTTCACTCTTGTTGAATATTCAAGCCCCTTCCCTCTATGAGCCTGTGGGTCCTATGCCCCTGCTATAGATTACGCCTATCTCCTGGTCAGTGTACCCACTGAGATTCAAGGTCAGCACCGTGAAAACACTTTAGGAACTCTAAAGCTGTTTATATGGGCAGTTGTCAATGTCTAACTCAGGATTGTTAATGGTCTGGAATACTGGGACATAGAAGGGACCATTGAAGACAAAATAATAACTATCAATAATTGCAGAGGAGTAGGAATGGCCTGGGTGTGGATTGCCATTTCAACTCTGAACTTCATTGTCCTCATTTGTAAGTTGATATGAGAACAAATGTAAAGTACTTATTTTTTGGCACAGGGTGAGATATGATGTGAAGGAAACTTGGGAGAGCCTCTCTTCCTATTTCTCCTCCATTTCACAGATGAAGAAAGTGACGTCTAGGCAAGGGCTTGGAGTCGGCCACATTCCAGAGCTAGGAGAGGTAGCTCAGGAGAGGAAGAGAGAGGGATGAGGTGTGCCTTAGGAAAGCACCTGTGGTAGAGAAGAGGGGAGCCTAAATAAAGAAGCAGCCCTGATTTGAGATGGTCCAGTGGGGCTTGAGGGCGGGAAATGGAAGGCAAGAGGGTGGAACCCAGAAAAGGCATGCCCACAGGAAAATGGACCAGCAGGAACTCAGGCGCGGGTCTTGGAGGACGTGGGCCTGAAACGAAAGTGATGGCAGAGGGAGTAGGAGGTGGGGCCTTGAGGAGGCGGACCCGAGAGGAGGGTGGTCTCCGAAGAGAAGCCAATAGCTGGGAGTGGGGCACCCGGAAGGCGGGTCACTAGAGAGTGAGGAACCCGCCTGCGGAGAGCAGGGGTGGGGTGGGGGCGCAGAGAGGATGCGGGGCAGTCCGAAGGGTGAACGTCTCACCAGTCTCCGGGGTCGCAGCCTCAGCCCCCTTGTCTGGTCGGCTCATGGAACCACACCCGGCGCGTCTGCAACTCCTGGGATCCCCAGCAAATCCTAGCCGGGCTTCCCGGTCGCTGCCATGACAACGGCATCGCGCAAGCAGCACCCGCGGGCTAGGGGCGGGAAGTACGTCACGGAGAGGGGGCGGTCCCGGAAGTGCGTCAGCCTCGCCTCGGCGACTCCTTGCTCGGCTGCCGCCATCTTGCGAGCTTGTCGTACCGTCGGTGCAGGGCACCGTCCTTGAACTCATTGTCGCTCACCTACACGAGGCGGACTGGCAGCCCTCAGCGTCGCAGTCATGCCGGCCGGACCCGTGCAGGCGGTGCCTCCGCCGCCGCCCGCGGCCACCGAGCCCAAACAGGTACTGCGTTCCCTGCTCTTCGACCCGACCGGTGGCCGGAGCCTAGGCCTGGGCCCTCCCCTCTGGCGCGGGCGCTGCTCACTTGCACAGGAAGAAGTGGCTGCTCTGGAGGGCTTGGAGGGATCGCAAGTCCCAGAAGGCAGCGCGCTTCTTGTAGCCACGCAGCTGTCTGCTACAGTGGTTCTCGACCAGCAGCATCGGCATCACTTATTAGAAATGAAAAGCTCCACCTCAGGCCTTCTAAATAGGAATGTGAATAGCAAGACCCCAGGTTGACTCATTAAAGTTTGTAAAGTACTTGGCCTGCCCTTCCCCCGGGCTTTTGGCGCAGTTGGGCCCGTCAGCCCATTGGCCTTCTCAGGCTTTGCCCAGTAATCCCGAATTTCCCTAACTCGGTGATGCGTTCTTGAATGTTAACTCGCAGCATCTATTCGGTGCTTCTTTTAAGTCAGACATAGTGCCACGCGCCGTTTTTAATGAAATGCATGCACCCAACCTCTGCCTTGGGTTGCCTATTGACTAGTGGGGAGACATAAACATTCAACGAATGTTTATTGCCCCATTACAGTAAGTGATATGATTCCAGCCAGCTGGAGGGGGTGGGGGGAGAGTGAATGTGCATAAAAAATTGGAGGTGTCCTATGCCCTATGTTAAGAGTACCAGGTACAAAGGATCGGGTAATCAACATCACTTATGATATGGGGTGGGGGGAGATTAAGGTAGGGGAAGCCCATAGGAACACAATGTAGATTGCTTTTAGTAAGACAAATAATAGTCCACCAGGGAAGGGAAATAGCAGTCTTCATTCAGCAAATATTTTCCATATATAACATAGTACATATATATAAAATATATATCATTTAATATGTGCTGAACACTGCTTTGGGTCAGTGTACAGCTGGGATCATGACAGGTGGTTCGTGCCTTTTCCATGTTTGCTGATCTGGCTCAGCATTTTCCCAGTCACTGGGAGAAAATAAACGGAAATGCAAGGTAATAATGCAGACATCAGGGTAGGAATCAGTTAAGAATAAGCAGGTGTTAGTGAAGTATAGGGTTGGGAGATTGGTAATAGGAAAAGCAATTCTGAAGATTCAAATTTTCCCTGGTAGACATTAATGAGAAAAGGATGAGTTTTAAGCTAGATAGTAATATTAGTGTTTCAGAAGTTCAGGCATGCAAGCAATTATGTGGAGAAATGTTAGGACCTGAGATGAGTCATTTTATTCAAAAGATGCTGAGGACTTGGCCTAGATTGCAGCAAAGGGAGGGGGAAAGCTCTTGTGACAAAGTGACTGAAGGTGCAGACTTTGAGCCAGCGCTGGGTTCTGCCATTTGGGCCACTCCTCAGGTCTGTCATTTGTAAAATGTAGGTGATAAAACTATTTAGCACATAGGGTGTAAGTGCTAATTAATATGTGTAAATTGCTCAGAAAGGTATATGAAACCTACTCTGTGCTTAATAAGTTAACATTGAATGTGCAGACTGTGGAAGGGAGAGGAAGCCAAGTTTCTGATATGGCTGACAGTTGCATTCATGAGGAAACTACTTAGAAATGAACATGCCCAGGAATCAGTGGGGTCGAAAGCTTTGTGGTGCATAAGAGTGATCCTAGATATCAGTTGGGGCAGAATTTTTGAGCCCAGAGGTGACGGGAGATGGAGGCCCTGGTTGTGAGCACCTGATAAAGACGGTGAATACTGTGAAGAAAACCAAAGACAGAATTTAGGAGCTTTTAGAGGAAGGGGGAGAGAAGGCAGCAGCAGAAAGGAACATGAGAACAGGGGAGAACCTTTTTTTCCCAAGATGAGAGACTTGACCTTTGTTTACTAAGGGGAAGCAGGTAGTGAAGAAAGAATATTGCTACTTATGGGACAAATTAGCGAGCATTCCAGTGGAGTTTCACAAAGCGTTTGTGCATTGACAGTGGTTAAGACTGGCATGAATGCAGAGGAAAAGGGCATTCAAGGCTAAAGGAGCTGCCGGCAAAGAGTTTCCTGTTTCTTTATTCAGCAATCATTAAACATCTCGTGCCAGGCACATCCCTGGGTGTGGGAATACAGCATGGCTTCTGGACTGGAACATGGTTTCTCAGAATGTGGTCAGAGCCCTTCCTGCATCTGAACCCCTGGACACATGGTGAAAGTGCAGGTTTCCTGTGTCACTGAGACATTTTAGGTGAAGGAACCAGAGAAGCTACTCTTCTTAACTGGTTCCCTGGGGTGTCTCATGCAAACACAGTGTAGTTCAGAGAACTGCTTTTCTGGAGCAGAGAGGTTGGAATACAGGGAGTCTGTGAAAGAGAGTCTGTACTTCTAGAGGAGTTTTAAAGGTGGGAATCCAGACCCAAACTAGCAACTTGAAGACCTTATTTCCTTTTCCTGTTCTTACAGCCCACAGAAGAAGAAGCATCTTCAAAGGAGGATTCTACGCCTTCCAAACCAGTGGTGGGGATTATTTACCCTCCTCCAGAGGTCAGGAATATCGTTGACAAGACTGCCAGCTTTGTGGCCAGGTAACATAGCTACTTCGTCTCATGTTTTTAGCACCAAGATCTCCTAAACGCACACAGGGGTAACATCTGGGTTTTTCAAGAGAGGAGTTGTCAGCTTAGGCCTGTTAGCTCATCTAAAACCACAACATGCCTCTGAGGTAAGTAACGGGCAGCACTAGCATCCCCAGGACGCCATGGCAGTGGGAGTCACACCCTGCCAAAGAGTCATCAGGAACCTTTACTTCCAAAACAGGCCTGAGGAAATGCCTAGAAAGTTGCTTTGTCATGGATAATCTGGATGTCTGTGTCTGAGCTGCTGGCCTGAGGGAGACGGAACAGGGAGTTGATCATTCTCACTGTTCAAGGACCACATTCCTCAGCCTCAAATGACCCACCTGCAAATATGGAATAACTTGCTACTCCAGGGTGGTTGTGAGATAATAGGACTGAATGCAGTCCCATTGTTAGGTACATCATAACAGGTATCAGCTGACTTCTCAGGTGGCATGGAAATCTAGCTTCGTTTAGTCCGAGTTCCTCTCTCCCCATCAATACATGCATGCTCACATTTCCTCAGTTGGAATCTTCTTGATAGACAGTTGGTACCAAAGGTCAACATGGCCCAGAGTTTAGGGTGTTTAAATTATTCTGTTAGGGCCTCCCTAGTGGCCTTCAGGTTAAGTCTCAGCACTGTCACCTCTACTGTCTGAATTTGATTCCTGACCAGGGAGTTAACCCTCATATGATGCAGCAGACCTCTCCTGTCTTGCCTTCTGCTCCCTTTAACAGTGTATTTCAGTAGATCTGCCTGTTCTGCTTCTCACTGTTTCTGGTGAATCCTCTCACTCCCCACATCTCTGGGCCACACCCCAGATCTTCTGTGCAAAAATAAATAAATCTTGAAAAGTAAATAAACTAGACCTCTTTTAAACTAAATAAAGTATTCTTTTGATAGCCACAGGTCACTTCCCGCCTGTACATCTTTTTGTCTTCGTGTTTTTTTTAAGCTTAAGTTATTTGCAGTTTAAAAAGGAGCTTACACAATAAATCTCGATTTTTGGCTTGTCTTGACAAACTGGACAAACTTGTGTGGGAGCCAGAGCTACCTTGAGAAGACTGCTGCCCTCGGTCAGAGTATGAGTTCTCCGGGGACCCATGCCTTCACTGCCCCTGAGGAGCAGTCCCATCACAAGACATCATTAAATAGATGGTTCCTTCCCAACCTCTTAATAAAAATAAACCTACAAAGCTTACTCTGGTGGTGTCTTTCACTGTGTCAAGCTCCATGCATAGTCATCACATAACATTTCAAGAGCTGGCCTCAGTATTGATTAAAACTGCTCTGTGTGATTGAACATGATCAGGCCATGTAGATTAGGGCAAAGGGTGTTGTGTTTATGACAATTCTTTAATGTCTAATAGCAAGGCCCCCCCTTTTTTAAGATTTAATTATGCATATAAGAACGGGGGTACAGGCCAGAGGTGGGGGGGGGAGGACCCACCAGAGACAGAGTGGGGAACAGAACAGGCAGACTGACAAAATACATTGCTGAGGGGAGCAGCGGGCGAGTCAGGAGAGGTCTGCACCATGTGGGTTGCTTCAGATCGAACTCGTGCTGCAGTGGCTGCAGGTAGCTTCATAGTTTGTGTCTTAAACCCTTGCGCCACTAGGGAGGCCCAAGGGCCCCCCCTCCCCCTTTTCCACAGCAGGGTGTTGGGGGAGAAAATCACCACAATCTTGCTACCACAATAGTTTTTACTAGCTGTTTCCATTTTTTCCTGTTTCCTTCTGGCCCTTGGCATCCTTTTTTTTTTTTAACATCCTTGTTATACTAGCAGTTATACTTTCACATCCTACTCTTCCCTCCTTACTATGTCGTCAGCATTCTCCTTTGCTGCTCCTTGTCCCCTGGTGCACCATAAGAGGATGCACTATGTTGAGGTGATGGGCCTTTTTCACTTAGTTGTATCCTCTGTATTTTCCTTTGAAGTTGTTTCCAACAGCAGAGGAAGCTGTGGGGGAAGTCTCTGAGCATTTACTGTGCTTTTTAAATTACTTCCTTAGAAAATTTTGTGGCACAGTTATGGCTGAAGAGCACTTTTAAGATTTTAAAGCCATTTTACCAAGTGATTTTTCCATTAATTTTGTGCCAATCTCTGTTGCCACTGAAATTAGTAAGTTCCCTTTAAAAAAAAAAAAAAATATATATATATATATATATATATCTCCACATCTCTGGATCTGCTTTTGGCTATGAAAATTTTTCTTTGTAGGCACGTCTAAAATCTGTGAACTTGCTTTTGTTTACATTTCAGTGAAGGGACAGACCAGCATCTCAGTCCAGGATAAAGTGAGCTCTCAGGGCATTCTGCTTCACTTCTGGGTTCACACATATTGACTGGT